CTGCTTGGCTCCAGCCACACCCACACCCTAGTGGGCTCCCTCCTGCTTCCCTGCCTTTGTCCATGGCAGTCCTTTTCCCCAGAGTGCTTCCCCCCCATTCCCCCTCCTGCCCACACGCCATCCATGGAGCCCTTAACAACTCAAGGCCACCTCCTCCTGGGAGCCTTCCTCTGCTTCTCCAGCCTTGCCTTGCTCCTTTCCTGGGATCTCACACTAGAGTCAGGATTGGTGAGACCCAGCCCCCTCAAGGGAAGGAGCTAGGCTTGTCTCTAGATCCCAAGGGGCCACCTCCACTCCCCCATTTCCTCATGCGTTAGGGCTCCCACTAAACAATTGTGAATGAAGAAAGGTGCTTGGGTTGGGAGGGGAGTTTAGAAAGAGTATAAGGAAGATCCTTAGTGAAGGAACCCTCCACCCCATGTTGGGCTTTACTGGGAAACCCCAGAAAAAGAGCACGCCAGGAAGACAGTAGCTTTGGGGGTGGATGGTGGGATGCAGGGTGTGAGATGCGGGAGCCAGGGGCTGGGGAGCCAGGATGGAGAGGACGGAGGGGAGGAAGAGGTACTAGAGAAGATGGATGGGGAGGGCTGGGACAGGATGGGGGTGCGGGTCAAGGTGCAGGAAGAGGTGGGAAGGGCAGCAGGGTGGGGGCAGAGCACACTTTCTGGGAAGTGGGGGAGGTGAGTGCCGTGCATTGTGGAGGGAGAAACTGCCTGCCGGCCAGTGTGAGCTCATTTCCTCTCACCGCCTCCTGCAGTGTCTGAGGGTATCAGGCTCTGGAAAAAGTGAGCCAGGGGCACCCCAGGGGCCACCACGCTCCTCCCCTCCCCCACAGCCTCAGTTCAGTCTGGATCTCCGATGCCAGGGCTTCCCCCTTTACACGGACAACCCATTTGTTTAGAGAGGAACGGTCCCCTGAGCCAGGGTGGCAGCAAGCTTTGGGCCACTGGAGCTACAGGGCAGAAAGAATCAGAAACAGGAACCCGGGTGAAGATGAAGCAAAAATATACAGTGTGATGGACTACAGTCAGATAGCAAGAAGGACTTCTCGGGAGGGGGGGGTGTGGTGGATAATTCTGGCTGCAGGTGACCTCGATGAAGAGCGGTGGGGAAGGAAGAGGAGTCATTACTGCCCCTCTGTCATTAGAAGAGCACCCGTTCCATTGACTTCTAAGGCAGTGGTTCTCAACCTTCCTAATGCCGCGACCCTTTAATACAGTTCCTCATGTTGTGGTGACCCCCAATTTCATTGTTACAAATTGAACATAATTAAAGCATAGCGATTAATCACAAAAACAATATGTAATTACATATGTGTTTCCTGATGGTCTTAGGCGACCCCTGTGAAATGGACGTTTGACCTCCAAAGGGGTCGCGACCCACAGGTTGAGAACCGCTGATCTAGGGGATTTAAATAAATTAAATGAAATATAAGATTTAAAAGCAAGTCAGTGTCTCCTTCCTCAGGTTCACAGGAGTGAGGATGGCCTTGATCCCCATCAGAGGTGAAGGGGTGGGGGGCTTGGGGCTGATCTGCTCTCAGGAGTCAAGGTGGAGGCTGTAGGAGGTCTTGCCCCAGAAGGAGTGGGTGATTCCAAAGGACGCAGAGTTGGCCTTCCCACTCTCCTCGACGGCCTCATCCAAGTCATATCCCATCTATCGGTGGGCTCTCCCTTCCTTTCTTCATAGTCTGTAAACTGCAAGAGGGCATGGGAAAGAGGTGAGCATGGGCTGGAGGAAGTGGGAGGTAGGAAGGATGTTCCACAGCAGAGAAGACAGCCCCTCAGAAATGAAGGACCGAGGGACTGAGCCCTCCTGGGTCGGCTAGAGGGTGCTGCTTGGGGGGCAGAAACAGGAGGAACTGGCTCAGAACCCCAGTGGCTCTTCGGGCCCAACCCAGAGTGAAGCAGGATCGCTTGTGCCTGGGGGGGCCTGAGGGGTCTCTGCTCTCAGGCTGCCTGCTGTGGGGAAGGTCTCTGAGCTGCCGAGAGGCCTGAGCCGCAGGCTGGCTGCGCCCGAGTCCGAGGGCTGGGGCGCCTGCCAGCCTCTCTCCTCCAGCCTCCGTTCCCGGCCTCTGTCAGGTCCTGGGCGAGACCCTGACTTGGGAGGGGGTGTGAGCCTGCGGGGAGCCCCTGCAGGTTCCCCTCCGGAACCCTCGGCCACGCGGGCATCGCCATCTCTGCCCTTGTCTCAGCTTCCTTGAGTCTCGGGATGGAAAGTTCCCTAAGCTTGTTTCTGTCTTTCCCTCCCATCCACCCCAGGTCTTCCATCTCTGTCTCTGGCTTTCCCGGCCTCTCCCGGGCTTTCTCTGTCTCTGTTCCTTACGTCTCTGTCGAGCTGCGTTTCTCTCTGCTTCCCTTTCCCTTCGTGCCTCGCTCACGCCCCCTCCATGTGCCAGTTCTGGGTTCTGCGCCCTCGTCCTCTTTCCTGGGTCGGCCCGGATCACCGTCTGTTGGGGCCGGTCCCCGAGAGGCTGGCCCGGACGGTCTCCCGGAGACCATCGCCCTGGCCC